GCCCTGGACTTAGAGATGAGCTGTATTAGGATGTTTTTGGAGGGCTGCAGGTTGGGGAGTAATTTGAGCGATGTTTTGAATCCATAATCCTCCACTGTGTGGGCAATGGATTATGCATCAGGCAAGAGTGGGAGGTTATGGCCATGGAAGAGCTGCTGGCAGCTTGAACTAGAAGGTTGGCAATGGCAGTGGAGAGATGTGCATGAACTCGAGATTCATTAACACTATGACCCTGAGGTATCATCATATTTCAGTTCTTCCCAACCAGTGTCCTAGACCCTTAGAGGATGGTGAGCACACTACTATAGTTTTTTAATTTATGTTTTTATTTTAGTGGTTATATATTTCAAAAATAATATGAACATACCCTGGATCATCTGTATGCCCATCTTATAACAGAATAGTATTATCACATAATTTCAGTGGTCCCAGCTCATTTTGATTCTAAGACCTCCCAGCAGCAAATGATGGCCTACAATGACAGCATTTAACATAACGTGATGATTTTATTAAAATGTAACACACATACAGAAAAGAATACCACTCATAAGAATATATAGCTCTATAGATTTTCACAAACTGAACATTTCCATAACCAACACAGAGTTTAAGAACCTCACCCTCTAGGAACCCTCCTCCTGCCTTCTCCAAGTCACTCCCCACCCCACCCTCAGTGTAACTATCACCTTGATTTCTAGCACCATAATTTAGTTTAGCTTCTTCTGGAACTTTAGATGAAGGCAGAGATGAGAGTTATGTAAGTGGGATGGATGAAGCTGGCCTCTAAAAGTCCCATCATGGTGTGTGGGCAGCATGGGATTCCCACTAGGGACCAGACCTCAGTTTCAGTTCATGCTTCCTGGGCATTGTGATGAAGATCTGACCTCAGAGACTAGGAACCAAATTATCCCCAAGGCCTGAAGCAGTTTCATTAGCACATCACAGTGGATCCCCATCAATGGACACGGCCCAGCACAGTCACATCAGTAGCCCTGGGTATATATTAGAATGTCTGTTTATCATGGTTGTGCTTGTCATGCAGAATAACATTTTCCCACACCTTAGATGACTCATGAGATGTTAAGAATAAAACAGTGATGTCTTGACTTCTGTCATTGCTTTCCTAGTCCACACCCCAGCAGCTCTCCCAGGTCCAGACTAAAGGTGTCTTCTTTAATCAGAAGGAAAGTCCAGCTGAATCTGCCCCCGAGTCACAGGAAGCCTCCCGTCCCTGCCCCGCCAGTCCTCATTCATTACACCACCAGGGTCAAAACAGGGAAGCAGGCAAGATTTGGTCTGAATGGACTCTCTTGCTCACTCCAGTTCTGGCCCCTCCTGTGACTCCAGAGACCTCACACCTCCCACTGGCCCCAGAGTCCCTCACTGGAAGCACGCATAGCCCTACTCCTGCCTCCATTCTCTCCCAGTTCTGCATTCTGTTACGTGATAACGAGTGACATTGGATTTATCCAAGGAATGCCCATGATGGTTTAGTGGAAAGAGCACTGCATTTGAGAGTTAAGGGGTCTGGTTCTAGTTCTAACATGACATCAGTTAGGATAACTAATTAGTTGAAAGTGACAGCATTCAACTTAAGCAAAAAACAAACCAAAAAAAAAAAGTCCAGAGATGAATGAGTTCCTACCAGGGTCAGGGGTCAGATACAGTTATATCAGGGTCTCCAAGATGTCATTAAAGACAGACTCACTTGCTCCACATCTTGGCACTGCTGTCCTTGGCTCTCTGCCTACAGTCCTACCCTCCCAGCAAGCCCAGCGAAGACCATGAACTTCTCTATTCCAATGTCCTGAAATCAAATCTCGTTAGTTTTGATTAGCCTCCTGGGAACACATGTCCTGATGCTCTATCTGGTGAGGCTCAGCTCATTTGCTCACTGTGGATTTGGGAGTAAAGTTAGCACTACCCGAGTTACGAGGACAGAGTGGAAGGGGCTGATTCCCCAGAAGGACTGAAGAAAGCAACAGCCACAGGTGTCTGCTTCAGTTATTAATTAGTCATAAGAGCTTGACAAATCTTTACACCTCTGGGCCTGGTTTCTCACCTGCAAAAAGAGACAGATGGATCCTACAACCTCTAATGAAGTTATGAAGTTTGAGTCTTCATAACTCTACCTAATTTCTCATGGGCATGCTACATAGTATTTTTACATCCCAAAGAATAATTTCTCAAGCCAATTAAAATGGGAAGCAGTAGGGACATAACCACCTACATGATAAGTTATTTGGGTAAGACCCACCACAGTGCAGGCCTTCCCCATTTGCTCTGTGGGATCTCTGTACCCACAGAGAGGCTGGTGCCAGTGGAGAGGAAGAGATGGAATCAGAACTGTCATTCATTGATTAATTCCACCAACAATGATCATGCACTTCCTATATCCCCAGCACTGTACTAGGCTCTGGAAATGAACATGAGTAAGGCACAGCCCCTGTTTTCTAAGACAATAGTCTTGAGGTGGGCACACAAAAGCAAACTGCTGACTGACAATCCAGAAGGTCACGGACCGTGGCAGGATGGTAAGGCAGATCAAGTGAGAGAAACAACACCCAGTGGGAGATAGGGTTTGGGGTATAAGGAGATGAGAGAATAGTCAGGGAAGTTATTTCTAAGAAAGAGATCCTGAACAGGGTCTGGAAGGAGAAAGGAGAATCCAGCCAGTCAAGAAAAGCAGGGAACAAGCATTCACACACAGCGAGTCGGGGCAGTCTGTTGCAGTTTGTTGCACTCAAGCATTGCAGTCTGTTGCAAGTGGCTGCCATGTGGAATTTAAATGGGACAGTGGCAAGAGGTAAGGCCAGGCTTGATTATAAGGGACCTGGAGAAACCAAACCAAGAAGATGTACCTCCTGGAGTACCATGGAGACCCTCGGGAGTCACTGAAGGATGTTAAGCAGGAAGGTAACACAGTATCTCTCATATCTACAAAGCATCTACCAGTATCATGTGGGGTCAGGGAGACATAAGACCAGTTGTCTTTAAGATGTCTGTAATTACAGACTTTCCTGGTGGTTCCATGTTTAAGGATCCACCTGTCAATGCAGGAGGCAGGGGTTCGATTCCTAGTCTGGGAAGATTCCGCATGCTGTGTGCCACAACTGCTGAAGTTCGTGCTCTAGAGCCCACAGACTGCACCAAGAAAAGCCACCGCAGTGGAGTCCTCACATCACAACTAGAGAGCAGCCCTGACTTGTCATGACTGGACAAAGCCCATGTGCAACAACGAAGACCCGGAACAGCCAAAAAATAAAAAAATCTTTTTAACTAAAAAAAAAAGAAGTCAATGATCACGCCATCATAATGATAGAGGAAGGACTTCAATACCCAGTATCTGACCACTGGCTTCTGTAGTTTTGTTGTGTGTATGTCTGTTTGTTCATACCTTCACCTCGTTCCACATAAATCTCACTCTTCAGAAAAAAATGCCTGCACCTGGGACAAAATGTTTAAAGGTGATCTGTAAGTCTCTGCTAAAAATCACACCCCACAGCTGATTACAAAACAACTCAAGATCTCTTAGCCACCAAATATTATTACAAAGATTCTCATGTGGCGCTAATGGTAAAGAACCTGCCTGCCAATGCAGGAGACCTAAGAGACACTGGTTTGACCCCTCGGTCAGGAAGATCCCCTGGAGGCAGGCATGGCAACCCACTCTAATACTCTTGCCTGGAGAGTCCCCTGCACAGATGAGCCTGGAGGGCTACAGCCGGTAGGGTCACAGAGTCAGACACGACTGAAGGGGCTTGGCATACACGCATGCAAGCACAGCAATCCATTGGCACCCAGTGGAGACACCTGGGACCCTCTGCTGGCTGCTCACAGAGGCCCATGGGTCTGCCTTCTACAGAAGGGAGAAAGTCCTGTATTCTACAGAACATTGGTCTGCCCAATGAAAATCATGGCACTCTGCACAACTAGGCTTGATGGTAAGAGATTATTCCTAATGGCATAAATCCTCAGAGAATCCTGTGTCTGGAGGAAAAGCAGAGATGCATCTGAATACCAGGACTGCCTTAGAATGAAGAGAAACAAGGAGAAGCACTGAGTTGTGAAAACAACATCTACCCGATCAACCTAAGTGAAAGTCGCTCAGTCATTTCTGACTCTTTGTGACCCCATGGACTATACAGTCCATGGAGTGCTCCAGGCCAGAATACTGGAGTGGGTAGCCTTTCCTTTCTCCAGGGGTCTTCCCGACCCAAGGATCGAACAAGGGTCTCCTGTGTTCTTTACCAACTGAGCTATCAGGGAAGTCCTGATCAACCTAAAATGGGACCTAGAAAAGAAATGGCTAAATCTGTCATAAATTAAGGAAAAAATGAAAAAATGGCTGGTTTCCACAGAAGTTTGACATTCTCAGTCCACTACAAAGACAGTCGATTCTTAATCATGCAAGATAACAGGGACCTTTGCCAAATGTCCTGCAGAATGAGGAGTAATTTTTTTTAGCTTATATTTAACTTGGGAATGCATTCTATTTTTTTTTTTTTTTTGGACTAGCTTTAACTTTCAAGCTCTATTTCACTAAAGATTAAGTAGCAATGACAGTGACAATGACAACATCTCCTTAGAGTCTGTCCAATTTTCAAAGCCTATTTATATCCATTGTCTCATTCAAGCTTCTCAGTAACCCAACTCAGTGACTTAATTAGCAAATGCCCATCTTATAGACAAGGAAGTGAGACTCAGAGACCCTCCACATCTAGTAAAGTGACTGAGCTGATCTCAAACCCAGGCTTCATACTTGAATCCAAGGCTTTTTCCTAGGAAGGGCTGAAAGAAGCCGAAACCAAAAAAAAAAAAAATGGGTTGCAAAAAATAAAGTGCTGACTGCCGAAGCTTTACATGAGGATGAGAGATTAATAACAAAGAGACCATTTTTCATGTGAACTCAAAGTGTGAGTTCTCGGTTTTGTTTCTATTTGTACGAGAGCTTTGTCATTTTAAAAGGCCCTTTCTTCTCACTCAAAATGAGAAAATACCTTCTGACAGCCATGCAATTAGTAGAGCCTTCAGATATTGATTTCCTCTGTTCCTTGGTATTATCTTCACAGGGCTCCACACAGGCTCCCGATAGAAGGGAAGCTGAAGTTTCTGAATTGGCCTCTGAAGTAATTTAGCTGTTTCCCATCACCATCTCTCAGCTGCACTCCCAAGGCTTCCTCCTCCCTCCTCAGCTGCATCTAAGGGCGACTGCTAGGCAGGGATTTGAGAAAGAGAAAGGAGATGGGTAGGGGGAAAGGCCTGAGAATAGGAAAGGAGGGGGGAAAGAAAAGAAACAAAATCAATCCCTGAGTGGAACCCCAACAAATTCTTGGGTAAAAGTTATATTTCCCCTTGAAAAAAGGAGAGGGGGGGTGGAACATAAAACAGAAATTACCAGTGGTACTACTATCAGGATTCCTTCACTTATTCCATATTTACTGAGATCCAACTGGTACCAGGGACTTTCACGGGCTCTGAGAATGTACACAATTGGCAAAAGCTAGTGTAATTCTTACCTTTATTGAGAGCACAGAGGTGCAAGTTGTGTTCCCCAGGAAGCTGACTCTGAGACAGATTAAAAAGCATACACTGCATTAGAGAGTGCTCTTAGGAGTAACAACCACGCAGAGAAGTAAGTTAGCAGGACTGAGCATCCTCTGATGCAGTCAAAATATGAAACAGTCTCAAGGGAAGCCTGAGCCAGCCCCACATGGGGTTCCAAAGAGGGGTGACTTTTCAGACCTGTTCCCAGTTAAGTGAGAAAGCCAGACCTTCACACCCCCATGTAGATCAGTCATTGAAAGGGAGTGTGGGCTTGGGGCAGTGGGGCGGGGGTGGGGGTACTGGGCATTTCTCTTCAGTTGACTCAGGGCCAAAGAGGTCACATTTCCAGCAGCAGGGGCAATATTAGCCTTTGATTCGAAGGCAGATATGAGCAGCTCATCAGAGCCCCCAGTTCATGTAGTCTGATAGAGGGGGCAGCAGCCATAACACAATCATAAAAAAATGCATACTGCACAGCAATTTGGGCTGCAAAGGAGAGGTGCACAGTACCTGAGAAAGTGCAGCCAAGAGGAGAGGAGACATTGGGTTTCAGGTAAGGGAAGCCCATCTGCAAAGCCCTGGATAGGGAAGGCGTGGGAAGGGAAATGGGTTGGAGAGCATCCCTGAAGGGACAAAGGAATTAAGCGCCACCTGTCAATGACTGTGTTCAGCACTTTCAATTCATCCTTTAGTTCACTTCACAATCCCATGAGGAAGGTATTGCTCCCAGGTCCTTCTCGCATCTCTTGAGATCAAAGAACAACATTCCCTGGAGCCACATGAAGCCAGAAGTGACAGGCCTGCTGGTCATGGAGTCAAGAGCACAACAAACTGATGGGGGCTGAGATCAAACTAGCCAGTTCTCTGAGCAGAGAGAGGAATTTTAAGGAAAACAGAGAAGATAGCTGACTTGGACACCTTTGTGGGAAATGAAAAAGGAAAGCAATCAATGTAAACTGAAGACCAAAGCAAAGTTTACTCAATAAAGCATACACTGCATTAGAGAGTGCTCTTAGGAGTAACAACCACGCAGAGAAGTAAGTTAGCAGGACTGAGCATCCTCTGATGCAGTCAAAATATGAAACAGTCTCAAGGGAAGCCTGAGCCAGCCCCACATGGGGTTCCAAAGAGGGGTGACTTTTCAGACCTGTTCCCAGTTAAGTGAGAAAGCCAGACCTTCACACCCCCATGTAGATCAGTCATTGAAAGGGAGTGTGGGCTTGGGGCAGTGGGGCGGGGGTGGGGGTACTGGGCATTTCTCTTCAGTTGACTCAGGGCCAAAGAGGTCACATTTCCAGCAGCAGGGGCAATATTAGCCTTTGATTCGAAGGCAGATATGAGCAGCTCATCAGAGCCCCCAGTTCATGTAGTCTGATAGAGGGGGCAGCAGCCATAACACAATCATAAAAAAATGCATACTGCACAGCAATTTGGGCTGCAAAGGAGAGGTGCACAGTACCTGAGAAAGTGCAGCCAAGAGGAGAGGAGACATTGGGTTTCAGGTAAGGGAAGCCCATCTGCAAAGCCCTGGATAGGGAAGGCGTGGGAAGGGAAATGGGTTGGAGAGCATCCCTGAAGGGACAAAGGAATTAAGCGCCACCTGTCAATGACTGTGTTCAGCACTTTCAATTCATCCTTTAGTTCACTTCACAATCCCATGAGGAAGGTATTGCTCCCAGGTCCTTCTCGCATCTCTTGAGATCAAAGAACAACATTCCCTGGAGCCACATGAAGCCAGAAGTGACAGGCCTGCTGGTCATGGAGTCAAGAGCACAACAAACTGATGGGGGCTGAGATCAAACTAGCCAGTTCTCTGAGCAGAGAGAGGAATTTTAAGGAAAACAGAGAAGATAGCTGACTTGGACACCTTTGTGGGAAATGAAAAAGGAAAGCAATCAATGTAAACTGAAGACCAAAGCAAAGTTTACTCAACTTACACATAATAGCATTGATCATTATAACAAAATTCAATAAGATTTTAGATCTGACTTATTCTTACACTCATTTAGCAATGCTGCATTTTGGGAACTGCAGAAATCAAGTCAACTGTTCTGAAACAGAATAAGATGACTCTCAAGGCAGCGAGTAATACACTGTAATGAAAGAGAATTTTTTTTAATATTTTTTCAAGCAATTATGTACTGATTTCTATATCTGGTGGTGTAAAATTTGTTGAAATAAGGCAATCTGCAAAGCAAAAATCACATAGTGACAATTCCTTTTTTCATTAGAAAGAGTATGTATATGTAAGAATAAGGTGCATAGCAGAAGTCCCCACTTGAGTCTCTGCTAAGTCTATGGAAGATCTATGGTAATACTGGCCAGAAGTGCATTCCTCTCCAGGGGTAGGGGGACTAGTGCACCTCCCTAGAGAGAATTCATCCCATCTAAAGCAGTGGGAGCCTGGAAATTTGTGGCTTAAGAGGACAAGACTGATAAAGCCTGTTTTGGTGTCATATCTGGGTTTGAGTCACTTTCTAGCTATGTGACTTCAACCAAATTACTAACCCCCTGCTAAGCCTCAGTCGTTTCGTCTACAAAATGGACTGTGAGAACCCCTGCGAAGTTTTAAAGTTGAGTGATCCTTCACATTTAGAAGTGGAACACCAACCACAGGCAATAATATGAGAAGGTATTCTTAGAGCTACTCAAAGTATGTTCCTCAGACTTACAGTAGCACCTTGGAACTTTGCTAGAAATGCAAATTATCAGGCTCAGTGGTAAAGAATCTGAATGCCAAGGCAGGAGACACAAGAGACGTGGATTCAATTCCTTGGTCAGGAAGATCCCCTGGAGTAGGAACTGGCAACCTACTCCAGTCTTCTTGCCTGGAAAATCCCGTGGACAGAGGAGCCTGGTGGGCTACAGTCCGTGGGGTCACAAAGAGTCAACCACGACTGAGCAACTGAACATGAGCATGCACACATCCCACACCAGTCTGGCTGATTCTGAATCTCTGAAACTGGGAGACCAGAAAACTGGGTTTGAATAATTCTCCTGGCAGAGTGACCAAGCATCCAAAATTGTCCATGGTTGAGGAGCCTCCTGAGATAAGGAATTTCCAGTGTTAAAACTGTAAAGTCCAGGGCAATCTGAAATGGATTGATTACTCTAACTCCACATGATTCTCATGTGTGCTAAAGTCTGAGAACCACTGTTCTAACAGAAGTATGTGTACTTTAAAATTAATATAATATTGTGGGTGAGATGCTTGAAGATTCCATTGAAGATTTTTGCAAATCCTCTGGGGACAGCTGTGAATTACTGCTTTAAGGTAAGCCAATATTTATTGAGCATCCTTTGCAGGTCAAAAGTTTGGATAGATGCTCTTTATTTTATCTCTTTGATCATACAGCATCTTCAGAGAGGTAGGTATTTTAATCCTCACCTAGGAAACTGAGATCTAAACAAGTGAGTAACCTGCCTATAGGATCACTATAGGCTAGTAAGCCAAAGCAGTTCAAGAATGTTCCTTTCTAGAGCCTGTGTTGGTTTCATTAAACCCATGCTTCCTCAAGAGTGAAAGATACGCTGCAGTCCATGGGGTCGCAAAGAGTCAGACATGACTTAGCAACTGAACAATAACAGAGCAAACTTAAAGAAAACAAGGGGTCTTTGGATTTCAGGGACTTGCTCATGGCCAACAACGTCTAAGAGAACGAGAATGAGGCCTGCTTGACTGCAGGGGGAAACCCAGCCCATCCCATCAAAAGCATCTCCTTCTCTGTTAGAGTCACCCTTCACACCTGGGCCTCCTGACTTCCAAACCAATGCTCTTCCCATTCAGCCCAAGTGCCTTTGCATTGTTACCTTTTCAGATATCGCAAAACATCACTCAAAGTATAACAGTGGTAAGCAGGTAGGAGAAATATTGCTTAACTGACATTTGAAGGCATTCTCAATTTTTCAAAAAAAAAAATTTATAGCATCAATACTGAAAACATTTATTACACATCTGAAACTTCACTTAGAATTAGACAGTGTGGACAAATCACTTATAAATTCATTTGCTATTAGAAAGTCTGTATGCACTCCCTACATTAGTCAGTCTCCGCTAGGTGCTGGGGACAGAGTGATGTCAGCCAGACACTCTCCCTGCCCTCATAATGCTTCAGTCTAGCAGGGAAGGCAGGTGTGAAGTAACCATACGCAGGTAAATTATAATAGGCATTTTTAAAGGGAGAGAAAAAAGAGGGACCTAATTTGTGAGGGGAAGGGTTGGGAAGATGAGTATTAGAGGATTTCCAACCTAATTGAGATGGTATTAATACATCTCTAGATAAACTAAGCAAAGGCTTTGTCTGGTGTAAATGAAAAAAACTAAGGACATTTGTGGCATGGTGACTGAAGGGCAAGCAGTCACACATTTAGTTAAATGTTCTTAGAGATGGAACTAACACTGTTAGAACTCCCAAGAACTTGGCACTTCTTCAGCAAACTCTCATTTAGAATGAAGAGCAGGCTTCCCAGAGTTCCAGAACAGTGCTCTCTGGAGCCCTACTGGAGCCTGAGACAATGGAGAAATACCCACTCCTATATACATTAATCAAAATATCCTCCAAAATATTTTGAAACAAGTGAAAAAAATTCATAAAAGCTCTATGATCAAAAGACATAACAACCATGACTCATGGATATATGGCAGAAACCAACACAATATTGTAAAGCAATTATCCTCCAATTCAACATAAAATTTTTTAAAGACAAGACAACACATAAAGCCTTGCATTGCCCAATCTTTTGCATACACTGTCAAACTTTATAATATAAACCTGCCTGGTGAACAATTTGAGGACCTTGGAGCCAGGAAATGCAGGACTGACTGGATATGGCTGTTCCCATCACACAACAATGCAGAGAAGTAACACAATCAACAATAGCCTGTCTTCACTTAAAATTTTGTTATTTTTTTCACTATGAATTGATTTCATATTTATTTTTAAATTTTTGCATTAATATATAATTTTACTTGATTAAAAAGTTTTTCAGTATCCCTAGGAATTTTGCTGCCAGAAGTGAGTGCCTCACTTGCTTTACCCTAATCTTGACCCTAGTCCTGTGTTCATCATGCAGAGACTTCAACTTCCAGCATTTCCAAAAGCAGAAATCTATAACAGATATAACTCTGTGCCTTTTCCTGGGGTGTGTCCTTTTGTTTCAGCACAAGCTTGAATAATGTCAGATGTATACTTCAGGAAAATGGATTTCCCTTTTGAAATTTTGTTTTCAGCACATGCCATCTCTTGAAAATTGTGATCTGAGTGGAAGAAAGTGCCCATTCTTCTGCCAAGTTCTGTTGCATAGAAAATGCTGGTGGTTGGATGGTGTTAAAAAGCAACATCTGGTTTCAATGCTACCTTTTTCTCCTTAGAGTCATTTTTAGAAAATTTGCCACTTTTTATATAGGCTCAGGACATAGTCCTCAGTCTTAATATTGGGCTTAGAATAAGATGTTAGAACATATACTTACTTAAACATTTCCTTCTTACTAAGATTTTGGAGGCACATTTTCTCAACTAACAAGGCAGGTACAATCTGAATCAAACTAAAGAATGACATTTCCCTGGTCTAGGTTCCTAGTTCTGATTGGACTACATCCAAATGTACTACCCATTGTTAAAGAAATGTCACAAAATTCCTTGAACACAATTAAATGTGTGTTTGCTTTCAACTCTAAAGGACGCACACAGCACCTTCCCAGATGATTGCTTTAAAAGGTGCGATGACAGTTCTATTTCCAGTTTTTTAAGAAATCTCCACACTGTTCTCCATAGCGGCTGTACTAATTTGCATTCCCACCAACAGTGTTAAGAAGGTTCCCTTTTCTCCACACCCTCTCCAGCATTTATTGCTTGTAGACTTTTGGATAGCAGCCATCCTGACTGGCATGTAATGGTACCTCA